AAAAGTTTCTTGCATTAAAACCATTAAGCGCAGTCACAAATTATGAACATCTGTCACGCTCTCTTGGAATTGTCTGTGAGTTACAGATTGTGGACCGCTTCCCAGAAATGGACTCCTCGACTTTCAGCTTGTCTTCTTTCCAACTTTATCACTTCATCCATCATCCTCCTATAAGGGCTTTTCAAGTGGTCCAAAAATAAAGAGGACACAGATGTCAGCCGTGCTATACTGATGTTTCTAAACCACCATAAACCCATCACTTACATCCACCCACGGTCTGTGAGAAATGTTGAAAATGCACTTTTCATACTCGGCACCAAACCACTGTCGAAGCGGGCTGATCCGCTGCAGCGCTCGCATCTTAAATTACCCACTCAAAGATAAATTAACCTGCACTCCAGCAGGTATTTCTGCATCTAAAAAGAGAACTTGGAGATCCGGCTCCTTTGCTCGTGCCTCAAACCCTCGGCTGATGCAGAAAATGAAGTCGACAGAGAGGGGTTTAGCGGTGTACAAAAGGGCAAACGCAATTATGGTTTGACTGCTAATATGCGTGGCCCCAGCTGGTTTTGATCTGGCAGTACTTTCAGAGCTTCTAGCTCACTTGTCAGCTCTCATGCATCACAGACTCGACGCTTTGCGGAAAAACGTGCTTTGGCAGTGACCGAGCTCGGGCCTGCAGGCCAAGGAGTGCTTGTGGGTTAGCCACATGCGGGGGGTGACACTATTTGCTCCCTTCCGCATCTGGATCCTCATGGTCACATTTTCTCGTCGGTTATGGTTTTTCGCCCTCTTCATGAACGTAACAGGCTGTAATTGGCCCACATGACCCAGAGCAGACGCCACACCACAGACTTGGGAGGTCATAGCCAGGCTCCAAAATACACACACACACACACACACACAGGGATGGCAAGAGAAAGCTTGGGAGTGGGAGAGAGGGAGAGAAGCAGGCAGAATGAGATGCTTGCGTGGAAATAAGCAGACGTGATTACTCAAATACAGTCATTAAGGAGGAAATGTTGTTTTTCAAGCTGTCAGGATGATTAATGAGCGAGAGCAAATCCACTCAGATTCTGTTGTTTAGTCTAACCACCAGGCCTGACCTCTGCCGCTAACTTAGATCAGACTGGATGTGTTTGCTCAGCAGCGTGCATGTGTGTGTGCGTGCGTGCGTGCGTGTGTGTGTCAGAGAATGTGGAAAGCTTCA